TATGCATTTGAGTAGATATACATTCGGAGGAACACATATTTAGTATAAGGGATTTTCGGAGATTATAGAGTTTTCATAGTTTAAACTACGAACTGATCTTAATTAGACCTTTAGTGGAAATGTAGAACCATTAGATGACCATTTCGTCCTAGTATGGGACTACTGATCAGTGAGCATCCACGACTCTGCACCCGAGAACCGAAACAAAGACATTCGTTCACGCATGCAAACACTTAACCTCTAAACCATTGGGCCGGCATCCAACACTGATAATGGGTAAATTCAATCAATTCACGATATTGTGAAATCCTCATCCGTCGCCTGTGGTGGATATCTGTCTCATAATCGAGATGTTTGAACTCTACAGGTCACGAATTCTCCCTGGACCCGATTCCAGAGTGCGCGGTTGTGGTGGTTTAACTAATGTCAGTTCGTCGTTCAAAATGGGAAAACACCACATATTTGATATTTTTGTCAGTTATCTCAATACATAAAACTGAGATTTCACTATGTCAAGTTGTGTGCTGGCCTATTATCAACAAGTTCATTTCTCGATTTTTGACCCCAAAGATAATGATTACTAATCGCACTGTCAGGTAGGATAATAACAACTGAAGGTCTTGATAGACTTGTATTTCAACATCAATTCATTGAAATCTAATTATTCTCATAATTATGTAAGGCGATTACAGAGTTAATTTATGACATTTAACTGAAATAGCCCATTTTTGTCTGTCTTGTCAATATATGTCTGCTAACATTGTCTTTACGTAAGAGCAATGAAACGACTTGAAATCAAACATTAAAGGTTATATTCAAAAAAAACTTATCTGGTTTATGTATTAACTTCATGCTCAATTAAGTAAGTTTGAGTTTAAATCCTCAATTAGTTACCTTTCTATTGTCTCATTCAAGTAGATTTTGTTCGTAACAATGAATTAAGATTAAGTTGGATATATAGTTGTGATGGTTCATATATTCTTTATTCATCTGACAACTGTTTATACATGAAATAAAGAGTACATTTAGCCGCTAGCTAACATCTTTTCAGTCTAGATAGTAGAATATTGAAATAGTTGTTTAAAGGCTAATTAAGTGGAGTTCAACTACCACCAAGAATATAGATATATATACATATATATATTAGTTTACTTCTAACGATATACACATTACTATTTGTTTGTCTTCTATTTGAAATACTTTCTAGGTAACGATGATTCACATGATCGTTCAATATGTAGTAGTAATAGTAGTAGTAATGGCATGAATAGTCAAAATCTTCCATCAACAGAAAGATGCGAAAAACAAATTAGTGAGATTGTACAAATTAAAGCAACTACTGATGAGTCAAATATTGTAATTCATAAAAACATTATATCAGACAGTAAGTTACCTTTTTTATTTCTATTATATCATTTACTGTTTTGAAATATAAACAAATGGAAAAAAGAAAACAACTTGATATCAGCTTCTTATTATGTGACAGATTATGTAATTTGGGATAGAGATGTATATAAGTTGAAATGTTAGATCCAACTAACCATGATTTATCTAACTGGATATTCTATAGTTTTTTTCTGAAATTGAAGTAGATAAATCAAATGATGAGATCTACTAATGGAATGAATGAGTTGGACAATCATATTTATTACTATTATTATTATTATCATCGGGTTTTAACAGCTAACTCAGAAGTGAACTGTACAATAAGAAATGATTTCATTTGTCTTAAACTGTTTGTTAATTCTGATCATGCTAAAATGAACTGTTCGTAAACTATGCAGCGCCCAAAGGTATCCTAATTTGACTAGCTAGATTTTCTGTACAGTATTCATGACTCTTAAAAATTTTGATTTTTCAATAGTGTATCTTGCCCCAAAACTCTGGATAATTCATATAATTTGGAAAATTTAATTTATTTTTCTTGTCTTGTTTAGCACCAACTGATATCAGTACAAGTTCACCGAAACCATGTCTATCCAGATCCTCATCGTTGTGTTACAATAAACTCAATGATCCAATATACGTGCAACGTGCTTTGAATAGTATGGCTAGTAGTAATGCTAATAGTTGTCAATCTACTCAAATAATGAACAATCCATTGACAAATAGATGTGATGATAATCCTACCAGTAGTGGTACCGTTGGATTGAATAATTCCAAATATTTTAACAACCCTACCTATATCCAACATACAGGAAAATCTTTCGAGTAAGTGATCTGTTAAAGTATGACAGAATTAACTAGGTGATGGTAAAATGTTAGGCTGAAATATACTTTATTTGGTCATAGTTAGATAGCAGTCTGTTAGACCATTTAACTGGAAAATAGTATGAGAGGAACATTTGAGCAGCATATCTTTTCATCCTTAACTGTTAGCATTTTTTGTAGAGAATGAATCCGTATTCCTCAAATTTACCTTTTGATTAAGAGAAATTTAGTGAGAAATGAATAGCCAAATAAATTTTCGTCTGTAGTTTCATATCACGGATTGAGCCTAACTAACAAAATCAATGATTATTAGACAATTGTTTCGTTCTATTATGTAACCCCAGTGGTTTGCAGGTAAACAAATTGCATCGAGGTTTGATAGTTCTAGGTTCGGTGTGTAGTGGGACCGTGGATGTGCAGTGAGGAGTGTCTTACTAGGACAAAAAAGCTGCCCACGATTTTGGGCTTTGATTTCTTGTCTAAGATTAACAAGTGATATAAAACTACCAAATCTAACAATTTATACAAACTCCTATACAAACCTAAGCTAAAAACCCTTTATTCTGAATATTATAGAAATAGATGGTAGAAAGATTCTGGAGTTAATTGCATTTGTGAATATTATTTTCTGTTAAAATTAAGTACTTTGACTGATGTCAGTCACCCTAGTCTGAAACATCTTGTTTGCTTTATTAATTTATCTTAGAAACGTAATACTTTGTCTGGTTATTCCTTAAGGTTATTTGTTGACAACTTACCGAATAACAATTTTTTAGGGGTGCAGAAATCAAATTTTGTCGGTAAGCTGGGTGGCTTAATATTATAATTCACTGTATTTATTTTTAAATGAATAGAATCTTGGACATAAATCACATACTATTTATCAAGAAAATAAACATATACAATCTCCAAGGCACTTCTGTTTCCATGGCGACTTTAACCAGTATCAGTCAATGATGCGGCCAGACATGATACTTCTATGATAAATAGATTGAGGCTATGTTTTGCAGTAGATCAAGTACACATCGGTTATTCCTAAATAACAACCATTATTACAGCAGTGTCTAATATTTAGTGTTGATCGAATTTTATCCTATCGACAGGCTTCGTCATGCAGTGGGAAATAAGAAATTTAACAATAATTATTATACAAAGACTAATTTAATTCGACTGAAAGTATCTTATTAAACCTTTTTATTGCTTTTAGGTTAAATACAAGTTCAAAATCCGAAAACAATCAAAAATCTATGCCATCAACGAATAGTAGTTATAATATAAATAGTATGGCTAGTAATTGTACTGAGTCCATCCCAATATTCGACCATCATAAAACATCGAATATGAGTAAATCCGCTTTATTACGAGAACAATTCTTCAGTTCTATGATAGGTGAAGCTGATCGTAATCAACAAACGCAACAACATCAGTCTTTAGAATCTTCTTCAGAGTTGCCTAGGAAACCAAAAGTTCTACTGCAATACAGAGATTTGTGATTTATATTAGGGATGAAACATTCTATGTACATCATTTATTTACTCCATTTTTACTTTTTCATAATACATTTGTGAATATCCACACATAGTATATATAAAAAAGTTATTTCTTATTATCTAGTAACTATATATTTTTTATAATATAGCTGTGCACAGTGTTTTTCTCTTTTTTTGAATATTTAATTGCACACTTCTTTGATCTCACTCTACTAAACATAGATACACGACCCATGTCTTCCTTCCGCACTGTTCGTAATGCAAGGACAGTCATTATGACTGGTTTCGTTTTAAATCTTGTTTAAAAATGCGTGGTGCGTATTTTGAAATTTCTTATAATAGACTGAAATTTGAAACTTTTTTTGAAGAATAGTGCATAAATCACTTTATTATTATATTTGAATGCACTTGAAATCATATTATCCACAGAATTTCCATGTACAGTTAATTAATTATTATTGCTTTTGTTTAATATAAAGGATATTATATACTTACATAAATATTTACACGCTTTTGTTCAATATCCAGTTTAATAATCATGGGAATTTTTGTGCTTCAACTCTGAAGATACATTTTGAGTAATTGTTATATAATCAAGTACAGACGAACAAACATTGCACTTAGATCAGTACGTATTTTGTAGTTACAGACAGAACCGTGTTGTCTAAACCAAGATAGATTAATTCTACTGAAATTATAATTTCAGTTGGTTGCGAATCAAATTCTAATACCATCAAGCCATATCTCTACACATTTATTAATATGTACAAATAAATGATACTACTTGTTTGAAATAATTAAAACGATAGCGTTGCACTAATGTAAGTGAAGTGAAACACAATGAAGATGGTAGTGATAAGATGCTTTAACTTATCAGAGTAGTATGTCTTGTTACATATGTTCATAACACATAAATATTGCCATCAGAATTCATTAAAACTAAATGAATATTTTTCTCACTGAATCCAAAGTAAAAACAATGTTACGGTCCTTAAAAAATTTCAGTAATATTAATAGAATACTACGTGGTACTCATGTAAAAGTTCACGAATGATTATTTGATTTTTAAATATTGTTTAGAGGTGAACTCTGAAGTGGTTTTAAATTCATGAATCAACAATCTAAATTCCACTTCTTTGATATCAACTAAACTATAGTAACAAACAATAGTAGAGAACACTGATCACGAAAAAAATGTATTTATACACTTTACAATTAGATTTGGTAAACTTTGTACAAAATATTTGTTTGTATAAAATAGTAACATTGATGACATAATCCAGTATAATGGATAGAAGTTCATTTTAAACTGCTAGCCATACTACTTGTAAGCGGAGGAAATGGTTGCAATTTGCTAACAACTAATTTATGTTGTTGATGTGCCAGATAACCTTTGATTTTTCCCTACAAACAAGGAAAAATAATGTACAAAATGGTGTGTTTTAGCGTTGACTATTTAAGGTTATTTGGAAGAACGTTCCAAATTTACTTTTCAAACTTAATGTTAAAATTACAAATTAACAATTTAAGTCCGATGCAATAGAAGTTTCTCCTACTTCAAAGTGCATCCAGCCTATCACGTAGTGTGGATAACCTTGATAGGCAATTTGTATTGTTGTCGAATTAATCAGTATACATTATTCTGAGAATTTTTCGTCTGACATTGGATTGGTTAAATAAAACTGCATATCAAGTTGTGTTTTTACTAGATAATGATTCTTCACAGTTATGAGTCAGGTGGTTCCTTCCGAAAACTGAGTGAGGAAAGAGTTATTGTTGCCGATCTGGGTTATTCTACAAATAATGTCGGTTTTATCGCTAAAATTATCAGTAAACAGTATCTGCTATCTTGAACGGACCCATGTTTCTTCTTTAAATGTATACACACTACTCAGCTTCGCAGTGAGAGGTGTTATTATGGAAATATTCAGGCCGCTTAAATTACGCGTAACCGATCAATTCAAGATTCTCATTAAATACTAAATTATCAATGTGTTGACATTTCCTAACAAGAATATATTACCCTTCAGTAAGTATCATTCATTGTATTAGATGTTAGGGTGTACGATAATTATGAGCAAATCTTAAAATACGATGTTTGCGCCAGTAAGGACCATTTGACCTAGAAGTAGATAATTTTATCAAGTCTAGAACTCAATCAAATGCAATTTGGGTATTCACTTAAGTTTGACTGTGTGATTTGTACGACAACAGACTTAATTTTGTGATAACAGTATTTTTACATGGCTGAAATGGGAAACCTAATATCCTTGTGAAAGATATTTTTGATAGATTAGTTAACTGATTTGAGAATATAAAACTAGGTATTTTGTACTTAATTGGCCATGTAACTTCTGCTTAAATTTTGGAAATTTGAGAAATAGATGTTTGATTTGAATGTTTTTAAATTTTTGTGACATGAATACAGAAACACTAAAAAAGGTAGTTCACATCATAAATCAAAAGCTGTCTTCGCAGTTACAGCAGCCTAGTACTGATCATTGAGTTGGGGATTCGAAATTCATGTCGTCTGCTTTAGTTTGCATTATGGATTATCATAAGAAAGATGTGACTTAAAGCCGAGTATACAAATCTTGGTTACGGAATTATATAATATTTCCTTTTATTCAATGGGATATAGACTATATTTTATCGAAGATAAATTATGGCTATATTATGGATTTGGTATATAATGATAGTTCTTGATTGTTTCGAAGTTTTCGTGTCATTAACCAATATATTTCTTGGAGTGTTAGGTATCTGAGTAGATAATATCATTTTAGGAGACCAATTAGATGAACTGAGTAGTGACTAACGTTATGTTTTTCTAGTCCTTTTGGTGCTGAGTAAATTCCATCGATAGCAATGTGACCACTAGTCTAGGTGACTGAATATCGTGTACACTATGCTGAGGTATTAGTTGGTTAGAGGTAGTCAACAGGAAACCCCGACCTAGGGTTTGTATTATTTAACACTCATTATTAAGGTATATCTGTAATATCGAAGGGGTTGACACCCTCTGGCAAATCTGATTCCGTGTCACCCATATTATAACCCAATCGGTAAAATTCGATCAGCGCTAAAAGAACTAAACAAACATGGCATTGTCCACTACCCAGTGATCAATCAGTCGTAAATATCTCAGTCCTACAGGAGGTCAGTCGCAGCCCGAATAGCTCAGTGGTAATGTCTCAGACTAGGAAGCTGAATGACATATGGTCGAACCCATTGAGAAGCACCTGTCTTCTGAAGATAACGGGTACACCATGGTGATAAGTACCAAATAGCACGAAGTTTTGGTTTAAAATTCCCTGTCAAGCTTAATTATTTATCCAATAACTGCAAAAGTAGTAGGAAATTATTCTGAAGACGAAGATTTCATTGCTGGACGATTGAAATATGCCAGCAAAAGATCATTATCACCATTTAAATACTGTCATATGATTTCGTCACATGTAAGGTTTAGATGAAAGTTGAGCTCCCACTCATATTGACTCCGTGGATGGAGATGAAATGAAACATTCCCATTAGCTAACACAGTTCTTAATTATACTCATGAATTTTGCTTCGAAAAGCTCGTTTGAAGTGATTATATATTAAACAAGATGAAAAAATTCGAATTATGGTATTAGATGCTACTTACTTCATGAATGAGATTGGCCAGAATACACTCTGTTTCGTCTGGATCTATATCTTCAACCTGTTCAAATAAGAAATTGTTACATAGTAAATAGATTTGAACTAATCAGACTTCTGAAAAGATCATGACAGTTTGATAGATTCAGTAACGTAACTAAAGTGACAGAACCGATCCTTGGATCTTAACGGAAAAGATTTCAAATGATAGAACTGACTGATAACGTATGAGCATATATTAAAAGAATTAAAGCTGACACTTATGCTTAAAATATTTAATCACGATAGTCTGTTGACTAAGTTACTCATAGAAGGACGAATGACTAACTAAGGATAAAAGTAAAAGTTATATATTATCTAATGACTGTTCATTTGTGTTTATCACAATGAAACGATTTTCTGAAATAATTGTTCAGTGAATAATAATATTAGTGTGTCAAGTTACATCCCTCAATTCGATGTTTTGCCATACAATAAAGCCATTTAGTGATGAAGTGATTAGTTTCGACTTTAAAATTAACCTTTTTATAGAAAATGCAACAATCATACTAAATATATTATGCAATTATTTGAAAGTTTCTGAACAAATTGTTAAGTAAACGTCTAGTTTGAGGACTATAAAGTTCATGTAATTTTAAAACAAGATGTCATATGAAGTAGGAACATGTACATTGTGTACGGTATAATGTAAGTGGAAATATAGCTACTGACATACTAAATACTAATTAACAGAAATGAATAAATCATGTCAATGAAATTACCAAGTTTTTCTTTGGTTATCATTTAAGAAGAATAGATATTTTCAACGGACCAAGTAATTATAATTGAGGACCTTAGCATGAACATAGTCGTATTAACATTGAAAACAGATTGAGAAAAAAAATTTCCACCAGCTGATATGAATGAAAACGGCACTCGATAAATATACTAGTAGCAGATTAGCCACTGCGATACACTTTTTGATCACTTCCAGAATGAAATACATTACTTTTCATTTTCAGGAGAAACGTAGTCGCCACACGATTGAAATCTAACAACTGATATTAATTTAGTTTTAGAGCAAAATGAATAATCAGTAATAAGTGTTTATCAGTGAATTATTTTAGAGATCTTTACGTGAATTACCAGGTAACATGAACAAGGCATAGTCACAGATGATAACTTAAGAGATGGATGCATGTATTATACAGGTAAGTAGTAGAAAATTATTGGTAATCGATATCTACAAACTGATTTAAATTAAGTTTATCTACTCTGAAGATCTTGGGGAAAAAGAAGGTCCATTCCAAAAACCATTTAGCAAATATATTTTATGAATAAACTGGAAATCAGAAAGAAACACAATTCAATACTTCCCTAATGGATACCTTTGTATTATGAATATAGTCTTCGACATAGATAGATTTCCAACAAGAACTGGTTAGGTTAGAAGTAAACATACTAGACTATTGTTATTTGATGAGGTAAAAATTTATCCATTCTAGATTTTATTTATACTGAAACACAATTTGGCGTTGTACTAATCAATATTAAATCATTTTAATCATATTGCCACTGTAATTTTAGATTTATAAAAAATGTACACGAAAAGTTGTAGTTTAACTGGATTATTCTTCTTCACAATTACAGATCAGGTGTTGTCTTTTGATATTCTCATGGTTTAATAAGACAAAATATTCAAGCGAGTTATCATATTGGCTGTGTATTTGTATGTTTATAAGTGAAATTTATCCGTATTATTAGACCAATCCATTCGGTTATATCAATACCTTTTCCTCAAGAAAAACTATGGACAACAATCAAAAACACATAAGTTACAGGCAGTAGGAAAAGAAAAACTTACTCCCATTAAATGTAGTGCAGCTGTAAACACTTCAATCGGTAGTAGATGTGTCTTCATAATATGACAACTATAAAATTGAATGAGAGAACAGAAAAACAACAGAAAAGATGGAAACCGAAAAATTCATAACAAAAATAAAAAAGAGTGAAAAAAACTTACACTCGTTTAAATAAACTTCGATAAACAGTCAACTTGAGCTTTTCCAATATCAGATATACACCACAAGATAGGAAAAAGGCTTCGTGCTCTTCTAAGGCAGAGTCCATTTTACGTAAATTTCCTGTTCTAGAGGGTAATAAAATAAAACATTAATGCACGAGTTTTTTGTCCAAATCTACTTGACTGAATCAGCAATGTCTTGGAATTGTTTCAAATTATATTTACATAAAAGACTTTCTTTGGGTAGTACTCCCTAAACAGAGAAGAGAAAAAGTTTTTTTAAAATTCAGTCATATGTGTAATAAAATAACAATGCTATGAATACTTTGATTAGTACACAACAGATTAATCACTGAATAGTGGTAACGCTGTGAGTTTAAAACGTTGAGATCTACTGACTATTGGTTTCAATCGAACCGTTAAACTAGGTGATATGGTCATTTAGTGTATTTGCTTCATATATAAGTTTTTAATACTGGACCTCTAACAAAATAATCTAGCCCAAAAAGAGACCACTTAAAGACCAATCGACCAAGTTATTGATTAGTTTTTTAACTTCAGCATTGAACGATCGAGTGAGGCAGTGGCTTAATCGTTGAACCGTCTTATTTGTAGCCACTAAGCTGAGGGTTCAAACCCCACTAAACCTATTTCGTTATACGCAATTGGGTATTATGATTAGCTATCACTCTTATAGTGTGGATGGAAGCCAACTGCACAAAAATTCACCTAGTAAAGTAGATACTCTTTCAGATTTCAGCAAGTATAAGGATAGATATTGGAGTAAGAAAAAAGAAGTAGTAAATAGTAAAAAATACAACTTACCAGTAACATTTTTACAGGAATTAAATAAATCAATATTAAACGTTTGTTATTCCATTTCGTCGTTAAACAACGCTCAAAAGCAAAAGTCAGTGATTTATCGGCTGAAATTTAAACGAAAGCATAAACAAACATTAGAAAGGACATAAAATAATCACGTAACGTATAATACTGATAAACATGGAGTCGACATAACGTAAGTAGATTAAGACAAACTTGTTGTATAAGATTTAATGGCAATGTAGCTCGGTAACTCAATTGTACTTTATGTACTTATATCAAGATAAGATACATAGTCACTGTTTCTTCCGAAATATTTTATATTGTACTATAATTGCATACTATTTAAACTATAAGGTGTTCATAATGATCTGAACAGAAATAGATTTTGTGTTACGATTTCCCAATGTGACTGTCATCTAACTTAGTATGTAAGTTATAAACTAAATAACTACGTTCAGTAAAATTTAGCACTTCATGGAATTCGTTTATCATAAAATCGTAAATACATGTGTGTTTCTGATTGCTTTATCTGTTATTAAGGATAACTAAGAATTTTTCAAGAGCGTATAAATGGTTCGAAAAAATCATTATGACTAGTGTTAGGCTATGATTTGCAGTAGAGTGTCGATAACAACATTAACCTGAGCAGAATTTTTTAAGGAAAGTAGGTGTAATTTATACATGTTGAGAACTCAAATAAATTCTCATACAACTTACCAGACACAAAATCACCGTCGAACATTGCTTTTCTTCCAACATAATAACAATACGTTACACGTTGTGCCAGACTAAAATGATCATTCATACTTAAATTATCGATTGCGCGGATCATAGATTTGCATAAATTCAGTTTGTTAATCTAAATAATAATTTGTAGGGATAAAATAAAGTGTTCTCTCGTTTTATTTGTCAAATATTATGCATACCTGGAAGTAAATTTTAAACAGTTGATTGGCTAAACCCATCATACCCAGTTTTTTCGAATCTTCAACTTGTGCACGACTAAAATAATAATTCAACAAGAGAGTCAGGTATATAGAGGCAACATGGTGTTACAAAAAGTAGAGAAAAAGAAACTAAACTTAATTTTGATATTAAGTAGTTGGAGGCTATTAGCAGGAAACAATGGACTTAGAGTTCGTGCCAGTTGACGTGGGTTAAACTCCCAAAACAAGGACCAGTCCTTTGAACAAACTACGGACAAAAGTGGATAAGGCCTAAATCCAGAGCACCCTACAGACTGCGTATAGCCACTTAGTATCTAGACAGTGCACAAGATATCGAATCACTTAAATTAGTGGCCACAAAGCAGCAGAAACAGTATACAACCAGAACTAGGAACTAGACGATATAGTATCAGTCGCTAACCAATACTCAATAATTGCTACTGAAAAATATAATATATACAGTTCACTGAAGTACGCAGCTACATGTATCAGGTTCTGGATCAAGAACTAATGTGGATTATGATGCAAATTTATTATGTATACAAGATAACTAAGTAGTTTCGGAAAAGAATTACATAGTTTCTTCATAAACATATTACAACTAAAAGCCTAAAAAGACAACGTATTACAACTCCATACAAGCTTAAATTATGACCCCACAACGATAGTGTCAAATCGACGGTTATTTTGCGAAACTTTTGAGAGTCAAGCACTAACGCTGCAAGTTTTGCGACATCATATTCAATATTTAACGCTCAATTCAAAAAATTTAAAACATGGATTTTAAAAAGTTTTTGATCTAGATTCAACATCCCTGGAATATTGTATTTCTCAACAGAGACATGTCACGATTATCAACTAACGTCGCCCATCTATATCCATCTTCTGTTTAACCTGGGGTTTTCAATTGGTACTATATTCTATCTTTTAGTTGTTTATTTCCTATTCAATAGTCTTACTAAATTTAACATTTGTTTTATAAATTTAGATTTGAATCTTTTTAGCATTATTGATATGAAATAAAACCAGTAATCGAGGAGAGGACTTGACAATTTCTCCTCATACTATGAAAACCCATTTAAACTAAATTATAGTTCATATTAGTAAAATACTTACCTATCGCTTGCACATATTTGAAATAGCCTTAAAATAAGTTGAGCAGCATTTTCCATCCTTCTTCCTTGATTTCGAAAACTATCCGATTGTGGTGTGAATCTTGAGTCCAAACCGTGAGCGAACCTTCTTAAATCAATAGCAGCTACATGTACAACAGGTAAAATCCAGTTGTCATCTTTTAATTCAGAGAGTGCTTTGGCAACAGTCGTTTATTCAGAGATTCGCAAAATGTTATCAATATCAAAAGTTAAGGCGAAAGCAATCCGTTAAAAGAACTGAATAAATAAACTAATTCTACGAATTATTAAAAAATCGATTGTTTGAAACTATTTTATCCACTTTTTAATTTATTACTGCGTAAGAAAATGGAACCCTTTATCTAAATTAGACCAAACTCCTCTTTGGAGAGGAATAATTAACATAATGTCCCAATCGTATTTCACACAGTAAAAATGAAGCAATCATGTTGCTGTATTTTCCTTTGTTCATGATTATTTATCACACTGATTTGTTTAAATAGGTAAGTATTGGTTCAGATAAACACCGGAATAAATATGGATCATATAACAAGAAAATGAGATTCTGAAAAGACAGAGGAAGAAGGGTGAGTAGTACCTTTAAAAAATGGATAAAAATAAGTCAACGAGAGTGGTATATAGTGCGAAAAAAAGTTTCGTTAATAAAAATGCAACCAGAAAAAGCCCTCTTAATTCCGGAAGTTTCTTTCATTTTGGAAAAACAGTAAAAAATTACAGCATGATCGACACTGACTTCTATTCTGAGCCATGTCTGATAACGTCTCAGGCCACTGAATTGCACTTTCTCTCGGACCCAAACAGATCCACTTCAAATCTTTCTTACGTAATTGGAAACAAGAAATAATCCGGACGAAATACACAAAATACACCAGACTGAGTGTAGAAGTAGAAACACAAGAGTTTAGATAATAATTGCACATATTCACTGTTGGAAGATTAATCACTTACTAATAAAAAGAATAAATAAGCTTGCTCATATCATTCGCCAAACATGTGAAGCTATTCTGTCAGGAATCACTTCTAAGACATTCAAAGATAAATAAAATAGACTATGGAATAAATACACGAGAGGTGGTGATAAAACTACTCTACCTAAACCTCATCGAGTAGATTTTATTGCAAGCAGAAGATTGACTGGTTAAAGACCAAATACTCAAATCAATGAGCTCAGCTTCCACAGTTTTCAGTGATATATAACACAACCCAAGGATTGGTGCGCATTGATTGTAAACATCTGTTATGTAAACGATAGAATTAAGTAACAAGAAAGTTGAAACTTGCTAAACACACGTAGTTTAGTGAAATAAATTAACAGCTACGCATTTATCTCATTAGTTCCTAGATATTCAAAAGAGTATAATAAATAAAATTTGAGGCTGTGATTTACTGGTTTAAGCTTAATTATCAAGATTGTTAAGCTACAGGTTGATAAATAATTTTTAAAGGATATTTTACTAATACTATTTGACAAGCATAGGCTTCTTCGAAGTCACGGTTACGCATTGCCCATATACATCTGAAAATTATTGTTTTACAAGTTACGCAGTTAGTTATTTTATTTTACCTCACATGAGCAGAAACTATCTCATCCCAAGGTGATACAAGGTACGACACAGCAATATTTTCTGGGTCTGGCACTGCTAGACGAGAATTATATACATGAGGGTCACTACACATAAGGTAGTGCTAGTTTACATGGGCATAAAATAGTAAATTCCCGTTTTAAAAACTTACACTCAATCCTCTACCGTTTCGATTATTGATACAATTAGTAACCTGGAACAGTGTTTAGTTAATTCACTGCCGGATAACTTACATCTTGCAGATACATTTGAAGGGTAACAGGAGCCATTATTAGAGGGATAGTTAATAGTTTAAAAAATGAATCTAAAAGGAATTAAAAAACTGATAGTGACTGATGCACTAAAAATCCACACATTATAAAATAAACTGATTAAAATACAATTCGAAATAATTTAGAAAATATTGAACAATAGTAGAGTTTGTGTAATAATAATTTACTGTAATAACGAGAAGTGAAATAAAACACTCATGCAGAAACAGGCACTACTATTCTCTGAAGAAGTGACTTACACTAAGTCGCGAAACGTCAGAAAATCTAATTTTCTACTCATTGAGATATTATAAATATATTATTTATTTATTACTACTAAGCATTGTGAAATACACAATACAACGACCGGTGACAAAATAGAAACTGAGGATCCATTGTAATATCAACATATATGTTGCAGAGATTGATTTCGATCAATTTCTTATGACTTTCATTCATGATAAACCAAAAATCGAACGTACTGATGTTTAGTGAAGACATACATGCTTTTTATTATAGAACAGCGTTTGCAAATTCTATGAACTTTGTTAGTCCACGACTTCGACATTTTTCCAGAATTATCAGGATACCGCTACCTAAGAAGTGATAGACATAGATGTAGGAAAGGAGGTAGCGTCCTTTCATACGTAGCCAATAATATAAATATCCGCCCCTTTGCCTGCGAATCCCATGATAGTGGAACTTGTGAAGTCATTATCTGTGAGCTCACTATCAGATGACGTACATTCATACTCGGTGTCACCTATCGTAACCCATTCTACTTAGCTGTTGACTTTATTTTAGATTGCATCTAGCTGAGTGCAAATAACAGATGCTTGATATTAGGAGGCTTTATTGCACCTGATATTAGTTGGACTGATATGGTCACGGTAGGATCTATGAACCTTAGTAGCAGGTTCTTGATAACAGTGATGGAGCATACATTAGTACAGGATGTATCCAAACCCATACGTTTTGGTTCAAACCAAGGTTCTTCTTTGTTCGACTCGGTAATCACTCATACGACTGAGGATATTGCCAATCTAGATATTCTTCCACAGTTAGCGAAAAGCGATCACGCTGTTTTGTCACTCATATTTAGAGCTAATGACATGATATACGGTCAGGTTAAGCCTCGCCCAAATGTATGAAGAGCTAACATATCAGCCATTCAGGAGTGTGCTACTAATACAGATTGGTCGGTAGATACTAGCTCATCAGTTAAAGCATGGTCTATATTTAAAGGCAAGCCTAGTTCAGTTACGTCCTCGTTTATACCATGCCTAGTACCACATAAACCGAATAACTGTCCACCATGGATAACTAAACAAGTCAAGAAACTTCTTAGACGTAGGAAAACGTACTGGAATATATTCACCCCTATTGGCTTAGAGCAATACAGATCCAGTTACTGTAAGACTAGGAATGCTTGTAAAGCGTTGATAAGTAAGACTCGACAGTTATATGAAGAAGAATTGGTTAGGGATTGTAAAAATAGTTAGGTACGGTTATTTTCGTATGTAAAGAGGCGAACTCAGAGAAGAGATGGATTCCATCACTTTTGGCACAAGATCCGTTGATATTGGCGAGAGATGATGCCGAAAAAGCTTAAGCTTTACCGAAATATTTTGGTAAAGTGTTTTCTATCAGCAATGAGGAACAACCAACGATTAATTGTGACGGGCGGTTTGTTGATAGATCCTATAGTTATTGAGAAAGGTGCTGTCTTAAGACTACTTCAACATCTTAAACCTGTGGTCCTGACGATATTCAACTTGGGATTATGAAAGCCCTATCGGATCTAATAGCTGAACCTACAGCCATAATGTTTGGTATGTCTCTGACGCAGTCCACACTGCCAAGAGACTGGAAAGACGCAATAATTAATCACGTGCATAAGGCAGGGAGCAGAGAGTTAGTTAGTAACTATTGATCCGTTAGTATAACCAGTGAAGTTATCAAACTAATGGAGATTATTCGGATGGCTTTTATAAACTGTGTGGAACGGCATCATCTCTTATCCAGGGAACAACATGGCTATCGAAAAAGCCTATCATGCTTGAAAATCTGTTCATTGCAAGAGAAGATTGGGCTGCAGCAAAAGACGGAAATATTCTTGCAGATGTAATTTCCATAGATCTAAGTAAAGTCTTTGACAAGGTTACCCATTCGGGTCTTAGATTAAAACTAGGAAGCTTTGGAGACCCATACATAATATGTCAGATAGAATAGTGTTACAGGATGATCTAGTGGTGGCATGGTTGGGCGGATGATCACTCAAAGTGGATTCTAACAAGTGTGGTAATGCAATCAAATATTATTCGTATCACTACACAATGCGTGGAGTTGAGTTATCCAAAGTAATGGACTATAAAGAGTTAGGAGTCGTAATAAGCAGCAACATCAAAACTACGAGCGACTACAAGGCAGCTGCTACCAAAGGCTTTAGGGTATTATGGGCCATTCGTAGGTCTTTTCAGTACTTTGACGAAATGCTAGTGTTATACCCGACTTTCGTGAAACCGCGTCTGAAATATGGGATTCAAGCAACGGGCCCTTCTTCCAATTGTGGGGCAGATATACTGGAACGAGTCTAAAGATGAGGGACTAAGAGGTAAGAGGTCTCTCTAGCTTAACTTATGAAAACAGACTTAAACACTTCAACTTATTTCCGTTATCTTAAAGTAGATTATGGGGCTGATATAATATTGGCTTATCGTATACTGAAAGATGACTTTGGTATTAATGTCTTATTTTTCCCTTCCGTCTAGGACTGATCATTCGAGAAGACATTCTAAGGAAGCTCGAAAACCGAGATCAAATCATGATTTGATTGCAATTACGTCTGTAGTTTTGTTTCTCATAATGAGTAGTGAATTACTGGAATTCTCTACCAGAGTACGTAATATCAGCACCTTTTGTTGATATATTAAAAACGAGATTGGACCTTTAATGTTGAAACTGCAAGCACTAATATAGGTCGATAGACCTAACCTTATTACTGAAGATGTTTCGACTAGTGCAATCATAGTGAACAGCCCTACAAATAACCCATAGTTGAACAGGCTTAAAATGAGTCACGTGCACAACGAACAAATCTGCTCCTAAAATTACATTTTATGCAACCATGAAGAATTTTTTCAACAAAAAACTTTGATAAGCAGCGAGCAGACATGTGTAAACAAAAATACGACTACATATATCATGTAATGAAGAATTTGGAATATGACCTGAATTCATATAATAGAATCAGAAACGGTAATTATCACAATAAAAATGTGGAAATCACTACATACACAACAGTAACGACAGAACTCAAACCCAGCGGCAACTGGTTTTGGATGTAATAGAAGCTTTCGCCTTGGATCACTAATATTTACAAGCAGGAACCTAGGTATATGTGGTGTTTGAATGGACTAATGATATCTTTGTACTGGTTGAATACTTGATTTCGAATTCAAAATACAATACATTCGTTTGTGCCTGTGTCTTCTTAGTTCAATTGCGTTAATCCTGGAATTCCTAATTCATACTATAATCCGAATACTATATTGGCGTCGTGATGGAACCTGCGATGGAAAAGTTGGATATTCATTCAACTCCTGAAGCTTTTGAGGATTATTTAGAAAGTTTCGAAATCTGGAGCATGACCAAAGAAGATGATGAGGATGTTAATATTGTGGCATACTTCCTCACATTCATTGGGAGAGAAGCGTACAGCTTATTAAAAACTTTGGCATATCCAGAAAAACCTATCTCACTCCCTTATGCAACTCTTAAAGAGCTATTATTAAGTCATGTAAAATGCACCAGTTTTGAATGCCATGAAAGGGTGAAGTTTCATAAGATGGTTCGTCAAAATGACCAAAAGGGTCGGGAATTCATCCCTGAATTACAGAAACAAGCTGCCAAGTGTGATTTCGGTGATCAACTTCATGTACAACTGAGAGATCGATTAATTGCAGGAATTAACATACCGAGTTTGGAAAGAGAGCTGTTAAAAATTCCAAACTGTTCCTTTCAAGATGCTAGGACTGCGTGTATTAACTACGAAGCAGTGAATGAACTTGATATCCAGTCGATGAAGATTTCTGATACTTTGCTTAGTCGTCATGATGAACTACAATCTCAGGGTCAATCAAATTTGCGTTCATTTAACAGTGATTCCTATTTTCGTGTAAATATGAAAGGTGTTTCAACGACGAATTACAAAGCAAATCACAAAGGTGAGATGAAGTTTGGTAAATGTTTATCATGTGGAAAGTTTCATGCTCGCAATCCATGTGTATTTCGTAATGCTGAATGTTTTAAATGTGGTAAGGTAGGACACATTCAGTCAGTATGCAATGTTACTGTCCATTTGGCTTCAAGCTGTACTAAATCTTGTGATTTAGATTTAAATAATTCGGATGTTTCTAATGATCATTTATCTTTATCAACGATTTCAAAAGACAATGCAGAGTCATATGGCAGTTCAGAGTTAAATGAAATCCAGAATTCTTGTGAGACAACAGTTCCTAATCAACCGATTTATCAGAATTCTCATGCTATTGTACCAAGTATGACTTTTCCTAATGATTCACATATTTCTAATGAAATTACTTGCAATTCTGAGGAAAATATGTTAAATGAACCTAATCATGATCGAAAACCTGATGTGGTTTGGGTAGATGCTGATTTTTCTAACGATCCTACGCTCTGCAATGACAGTCCTGATGAATTTCATGAGAATATTTCAGAAGAATCAAATCCTGATGTCATATCATATATTACCTATCCTCATAATGTATTTGATCCTTGTGAAAAACCTGCCCAATGCGAAGCACGAGTACTAAGTGACCTCGAGTTTTATTACATTTCGAATGATTTCATATCAACTGCTGTTTACTCTTATCACAAAAACAGTTCTAATGTTTACTCTAAACAATGTGAGAAATATGTTTTAAATGAAGCCACATTATTCATAACTTGGGGATATAAAGATCCAACATTATTTCGTGGGGGAGGATAGGATTGAAAAATTTATGGTTCAAATTCTAGATATTAATGATTTCAGTACAAAACCGATATGCTGATTGTATACAATTCCAGGTGAGTCTGTTCCGATTTCGTTTGTTAATTCCAATACTAATGAGCATTTTCTAGATACTACAAAGTTTTTATCTTATACAATGTCGGACAGACTCAGGATGAACTTCACAAAAAGACGTACAACCGATTACAAACACTTATACTTCTATTTAAGCTGTGGCGGATGTGGTGTTTGAATGGACTAATGATATTTTTGTACTGGTTGAATACTTGATTTCGAATTCAAAATACAATACATTCGTTTGTGCCTGTGTCTTCTTAGTTCAATTGCGTTAATCCTGGAATTCCTAATTCATACTATAATTCGAATACCATAGTATATTATCGATATAAGGGGACAAAGAAAAGAAGTTGGTAACTCATAATGACATACTATCGTTAGTCCCTGAGAATGTCAAGTTTCCTCTTAAATGACTCCTAAGAAGTCGATTGAACCAGCTCAGCTGGCTGCAAATCTCAGCATTTGACTACTCCTAAGGAGTAGGAGGTATGTCTACAGTTCTTTCCGCTGCGTTGTCTCCAGTTTCTGGGTGTTATCCCCAATGTATGTGTTGGGACTAAGCTGTAAACCAATAACTCACCTCTAAAACGTCTGTACTCTAACGGGTAAAGGTTCAGTGGTCGGGGGGACTCTTCATAAAGCTTGAATTTGGGTTTCCGAACTGAGTTCGTGGCTCTCCGCTGGATAGTTCTAGATTATCCCTATAATTTCGGAGTGAGGGAGGAAATGCTATGTTTCAGTACTCTAAATGAGGACGAATAAAACTAGTGAAGATATAATGGAAAGTTCGTTCGTCGAACTGGCTTCAACGTTACAAGTGCAGGGTTTGCTAAAAGGAATTTTGGTCGCAGCAACGTAGGACTTCAAATCATAGGCACCAACACTTCCAGGTCATTTTCATCAATATAGAAGAATGGACCATATTCGGACCAGATGTGCCTTTTTTAAATGCTGCAGCTTCCTGTACCCCAAGTCAGTGCACAGGTTCACTTCTGAAAGTCCCGTGAAGTTGTAGATGAAGCTTTCATCAACATATTTGGCGTGGGTTAGTTGAACTGTCCGAGAGCACTGTTCTGTCAGACGGTCAGTGGCATCACCGTCGTTGTTGACCGGGCCATTAGGACCGAGCAGTTGGGAAACTCCAGTTTTGGTTTATCGAATAGAGGTCGCATGATGGGATAAGCTTATAGAATTGAGACGAAAGCCTCCAAGGCGTTGCACAGGCTCTCCCATCTAGGTACTGAAGGGACCATTAAGCTCATAAAACAGCGATTTCGTTGGTCTGATATGATTAAATATATGGGGGAGTGGACAGGCACTTGTGTAAACTGCCAGAAGTCTAGGGTGAATAGAAACAATAAATATACATTGGGCCTTCTCGAAACACCCAACGGTTCGACTATGTTCATCTTGATTTGGTAAGGCCCTCACTGCATTAGAACTGATCCTCTTACCTCGAAACCTATGTAGACCGTTGCACACAACGGTGTGAAGCAGTATCTATCACATTGTTTCATGCTATTTTACTGTCTATAGAGTGCGTAATGCTAATCAACGATCTCTGCATACGTGCATTTGCGACTATATAACAAGAGAAACCCCTATGCCTGAAGACCATGGTTTATGGCTGACCAGTCTCTGTTGATTGCTTCGGGATAGGATAAGCGATAGGACGAACTTTCACATCGTTGGAATCAGGCAGCCTTTAATAATCATATACTGGACCACTCCGTGACATCGATTTTAGTCAAACAAGACTTTACTACCAATGGTCCAGCAACATACAACAGTAAAAGTAGGTAATGGGAAGCAAATCTTTAACCAAGGTCATAAAATAAAAACTTAGACAAGGGCGACTGAAGAACATGAAGTGTGGCTAAAGGAGACCTGACTAAAGATTAGAATGCAATACAGAGAAAATGAACAAATAAATACTACCTAATCAAATGCTTTGGAGGAATTTTCAGTGTATTCTTTCCGGTACAATGATCAAATCTGAATAAAACACAATTTCTAATTCTATTATTCGAAGGTGAACAAGAACTGCTGGCAAGAGTCTTGAACAGAACTATATCATTTCCAAATATATTTGACTCACTCTGAAGCAAAATATCCGAGAAACTAGACCTGTTCACACAGTGAATTAAGGTGCTATTAGTTTATAAAATATCAGATATTAAGAAATGGTCCTAAATAATATCTTTTTATTCCAACTGAGGGAACTAAGTGGGTACAATCAAATAAACCAAATGCCAAAAACAAGCGGAATCTCTGCGATATACCGGATTTTTTTCAACTTGGATTCAACTACAGGAAACTGTAATATATAGTGCACTGACTCACTCAGCAGATCGGACACATGGAAAACTAAAAATGACTTTCTTGAGCCTTCTCGTAAAGTGAAAATAAAAATCATATAAATGTTTTGAAGCTCACATTACTGTGTAATGAGGTATGGATTTTTACTTAGAAAACCTGACTTTCAACACATTTAATGATGTTCCTTTATGTTAATTTATCTAGCTTAATAATCTTTATTTCCAACTATATCGTTCAGTGCACTTCGCAAGGGAAGTGTTTAATTTCTCTGTTGACAGCTCAGATACTGCACCGTGGAATAAGATTTCCCAAATGTTTACAACATAACATTTTACAAGTGAATTTATTTTTAAGTTCGGACGTTCCCTTATATCACAATAACATTTATGAATAGGACTGACATATAGTGACTATTCTGTAATCAGAACTATTGATACAAGAACCATCTGAGTTATAAATCCATCAAAACTGTGACACTTGAAAGAAGTTAATTATATCTCGTGTTAACATAAAAGTTCGAGTCTCCAGTCGAGTTTTTATGTGTAGTAGCACCTTGTATAGACAACCGTGACGTTGCATTAGATCAGCACCACACCACACAAAGATTTTTCTAGATTGTAGGTAGACCAATCATCCCACTAATTTGAGGTTATTATTCATGCATATTTGACCTTGTCAGTTACTCGTCTGTAACCTTGATTGTTTTTAAACGAGCCCTATGTTACTGACACACCTCGTTCCTCTCCTGTCTGTCTGTGGTAACCCATATACGAGGTATGTGTCTAAACATCACCCAGGAATTAGACTTGTTTTATTCCGCATTTCAATAACGCAAATTAACCCGATAAATATTTACGAGATTAAGTGGAATATGTGTTTCGTTAACATCATCTGATCACATAGACAGTATGTACGGGGACCTAACCCATTAGTATATTTCACATTTTTCTTGATAGCAGAGGACTACACAGTCTGTCGGTAGAGATTACAATTGTTCGATATTTTATTATAAACAAATACCAACTTGAGCTTCAGGCAGACTTAATATGAATAACTGATCTAAAGAGTGGCTGATGCCTATCGACGCGGCAGTGTGTCTACACGCACTTTGGGGATTTAAGGGTTAATAGGTACAACATAGAGGAAGTGCCATTACCCGTGGCCCGGTTTCATAAGGATCTAGGGGTAGCAGTGAGTCATGATCTTAAGACGACGGCCCATTGCCGAGAGGTCGCACCTAGGGGGTTTCGAAGCCTCTGGACTTCAAAACGGACATTCACTAAGTTAGATATTACCATGTTCATCACAGTATACATATCCTTAGTGAGAACTAAGCCTGAGAACTGCGTTCAGGCTGCAGGCCCCTGTTTAAAAGATGACTCGTACATCCTAGAAGTACAGAGGGCAGATACCCGTACAATTCCAGAACTCCGGGGTTTACCATACAAAGAGCGGCCTGAAAAGCTGGACCTCTTTGCTCTGTCCTCCCGCAGATTAAGGGGAGATCAATTTTGATGTACAGAATACTGAGAAATGATTCTGGACTTAACTTATTCCCTCTTTTTCTTTCCACTAGATCGGGACATCTCAGAGGACATAGTAGGCGAGCAGAAAAGTCAAGAATGAACAAACTACCGGTGGCATACAGGTTTTTACACCGAGTCATTAATACTTGGAACCTGCTGCCCGAAGCAGTGATGTCACTGCTTGACACTTTCAAGAGAAGACTGGACACTCACAGAAGCATACTAGGAACGGAATAACACAGGCCGTAGGCCTTCTGTCCTTACTACACAAATCTGAATCTGAGTGCACGGGCATGCGAGAACCTATAACAAATCTATCGCCCTCCATTTCTTCTAAATTAACAACCCGTTCAATAGGATCTGTGATGTTTTACCAAACTGTGACTGTGGACAGAATAGAACTGACAGTACTGTAACACCAAGAGGATAGAAAACACTGAGACACGCGTGGACGTATGGTATTAGAACATGAGGCAATTATGTACCAAACATCTGCTCCGTTGGGAGTAACAGGCATAAGTAATCCGCTATTTAGTTAAACAACATAATATCCTTGCACTCGTGAAAACGAACTCAACATATCATAAGGAATTTTTGTTTACACTGGATTTAGATAGTAACCACCTGCTATGTTCGAATATTTTGTGAGTATACATTTAATGATCTCCAGAAAACCTGCAAAATTTCTGTCCAAACTAAATGTAATTCGTTAATTACCGTGCGAAATACAGTGAATAAGGTCTCACGAAATACCTAGTTCACTTTCTGAGCTGAAATCCTGATTTTATTACAATTAGCACTCAACCCTCAGCATCCGTTTGAAGCCATAATCTCGTCCCATGATGTGATCCTTCTATTTGGAACATTTGAATAACAGACTTACTTCCATGTCTGTTTTAGTCCTTATACTCTGAAGTTATAACTAAACTACTCAATGGAGATCAAGACAAAGCATTTCAAGGAATTGATTCACATTGCCAGAAGATAAGCATTGTGACGCGATGAGAAACCTAGTTAAAGCCTATTGGTTAAATGTTTCAGGCATAAGAGATATTCGGTGCACAGTCACTTAGTCGTTACTACCCCGTGTACACATTTTTTTGCTACACTAGTTTCAAACCGATTTCCATAGTCATGTCTAAGTGTGGAAATATCGTCTCTTGTGACAAAGAAACGAGATGATAAACTGTTTGTTATGAAGCAAGTAAAATCTGACTACATATAAGAACAAGAAAAATAAAAGCTTAGTCTAGAAAAACAGCACCATACAATCGAAAGTATGTCTATACATTATATACAATAAAAGTGAATGTAATTCGATGTATGAAAATATATTTCCGAAAGATAAAAAAGTGCACATACATGCCATGATGGTATATAAAATTTTACATTAGAACAGTGAATAAAAACTATTTAGTCCTTGTCCTATCTCCCAGATAGAAACACCCGTACCTCTGGATAGTATAGCTTGTAGACGTTGTGCTATCGACATCAAGGTAGGATAGAAAGCCAAGTGATCTTGCGATTTTTTATCCCTACAAAAAATATATAAGGTATTTACCAAAAAACTTGAAGTAGAATGAAAGACAAAAACAACGGAAACTGGCATGTGATGGAAAACACCGGGGAATAAATTAAAGTTGCAGTACTCTGAAACAATTTGAACGGAAAACGAACAGGTTAGAATGAAATAAACATGTTTGTAACAGAACAGGGGAAATATTGATTAAATAGCTTGAAATGTTACTCAAAGACATATTTTTTATTGATATTAACTAACAGCCAAAGTACAAGGTTAAATATTTCAAACTACTGACAATTTTCCACCCTTAATGAACCTTATTTAGAAGGTTGAACCTTCCCAACTATATTAAACTAAAAATGAACGAATGAGAGAACGGGTGCCATACCCCGAACTGCGATTTAGAATAGAGAGGATTTACAAAAATTTCAAGTATTAAAAGAAATCTTATGAAAAAAGGCGAACACTGAAGGTTTTTTATCTGGTGAAAAAAAAGAAAATGAATGTACTAAACAGGAACAATTTAAAGACTAATTCAAAGCATACATAGGAATTAAGATAGATAAATGACATTAGCAACACTACATTAGATAAAAAGTCACCAAGTGAAGATGACAGTGACTGCTGAATTGGACGTCTCAGACTCCATTTTAAGAATGTTTTACTATTATAAGTTTTTTCTACAAATAATGATGGAATGTTTAGAAAGTTTGAACTCATATAATATAGGGATGAAAAATTTATAGTATTTTCAGAATGACGATCGTATGGTAATTGTTTCACTGAATTTATTGAGCAAAGAGAAGAAAAATAATCTTACTTGTAAGAGAAGCTATGTTCAGCCCATTTTTTATCCCATTTAAAATTCGGTTGATACTTCTCAAATATTTCAATAACACTAAACAACAGAATAAAGAAAATACAGTATCAATTTATAAATGAACAAAAATGGCTTTAGAAGTTAGTGACATTGAAGTCACCCGAGGTATTTCACTGATAATTATCTTTGCAAAAACAGTGAAGAGTTGTAAGAATGAGGTTCCCTGATTTTGTCTCCAACATTATTGATCTAACTTTACATAATCGGACAAAAAATGATATATAAATATATGAAATGGTCGTCATTACAAGCAGGCATCAGCTGAAGACTCACTTAATGCCAAGGAGAACTAAAAAACTGCTTGCTTTTATAAGAGAGTACCCACCATCCCAAGATGAGTCAAACTCAGGATATATAGGTCTCGGGACGTAAATGACTTCTTCGGACCACTGGGCGGGAAGCCAACGGTCCGTATTTTCAATTTCAACCACTTTTGTGATACACCAAGGTTTTTATCTAATGTCACCGACTAGTTGTTTCGATTCCGTTTTGATTGCCCCTATAGATTACGCTTTCACACTAAGAACACCAGAAATTCATTTTGAAGCTAGCCAGTAATGAGCTCACAAGTATCCATTTCAAGACGTTTTTGATAATTTTAGACCCCTAAAACGGAGACACAGAAGCTTATAAAACTGAATGAGACTTTATATTTGCAAACATAATACCTACATACTAATAATGTAATTCATTTGTCAAGTATAGGCTTATGTACTACTTTTCTATTTATATTTTTCGTGCGAAGGCTGGTGAAACTATTTGGCTGCCAAAATAAGATAAACTGATTCTAAAATACGCTAGGCATTGTTTGAAATACTCAGTTACCTATAATATTTGTACTTTCGTGTTTAGCACTTAGTATACACAACCGTAACGGTGATCTTAGTTCAGTTAAACCATATTATTAGTATACTTTTAAATATTCATGTGTTGAATAATTTGTTTAGAAAGAGCTTGGTAGTAAATTTGAAATAGTCTGACCAACAAGGACATGTAGAGCAATCCATTATTGCTAACATAACTCGACTTTTAACCTCGAGATTGTGATATCTACTTTGGTTCGGTCACTAACCCTTAATGTGAACATGTTTGAAGCAAAGCCCAATTACCCGTGCTTAGTTAAAATGGATTACCTGTATTATCACTAGAACCCATATTACAGACAGTACACATTTTCTAGTTTAAAAGTAAGTATAGACGATGAGCACTAAAAATTATGCTCAACCTGGGTTGGAAACTTCTTAATGATAAACTTTAACTGAGCTAATAAGAAAAGTATAATATGTTGATAATTACTAGGTTAGCTATGGTCAAATTAGTGGATAGAACAATAAATATGTATCAAACTACTGATACAACTGAGCAGTAAATCGAGGTTTTAAAAGATACTTCTCCCTGTTAACTTGACGAAAGCAAAAACAAAGGTCTAAGCAGAATAACATGAATTTATTTTATTTATCTAAGTTGTCATCAGCTACTACAACCTAGAATGTTTTAAAATCAAAATTATACATAGTAGTTAACGTACTTAGAGAAGTGAACTGTGAATGTTTCATTTCTCTCGATGTGTTTTAATAGTGCCTAGTATTCGTTGGACAGAATTATTAACTTCAGTGTTGGTAAAGTTATGTATTAATTAGCGATACCAGCTATTGTGGAGGCCAATATTGTCAAGCAACCTAGTGACATGAATGATTTTGAGAAGTTATTTTTTGAAAACTTTCATACACATAGTTCGAGTCATTAGCAAGCAGAATATCTAGAGAAGTGACTAACCTAAGGTTTTATGATGAATGTCGGCTTTCGTTTATGATTTTAATATGGTGCCAGATAAAAAGCGTTAGTCTTATCCATAGTCCTGCAAGAAAGGTATGCTATAATTTCCACAGATCTCTGTCAAAGACTCTAATAGGGGAGCAATCACATGGAGGTTTCTTCAGAAAACCCTGAGGAATTCATTTGCAATTTATTCAGTGGGAAACTGAATTAGGTAGAAACGAATATCCTGCCACTAGGATCTGAATTCTATATCTTAAAAAGAATTACCGATAGTAATGATACAATGGCTCAATTTGAAAATTTGTTTAGCCACTTGAAGGATTTGTAAACAATGAACAGGGAAAAAAAGCTTGGTTTAAATTCGAATTAGCTGATATAACTAATCAGTACGTTAACTTTATCAACACTGAAGTTAATAATTCTGTCCAACGAATACTAGGCACTATTAAAACACATCGAGAGAAATGAAACATTCACAGTTCACTTCTCTAAGTACGTTAACTACTATGTATAATTTTGATTTTAAAACATTCTAGGTTGTAGTAGCTGATGACAACTTAGATAAATAAAATAAATTCATGTTATTCTGCTTAAATCCTTGTTTACACTTTCTTCAAAATAAATTCACAGTCGACGCACTAATTTTTAAACTACTCATAATATGTAATAGTTGGTTAGTTCAATTTATTGAGTCAGAGTGGGTAGGTTGAGGATCAAATTTGTAGATTAAATAGTTAGAAGTAAAGAGCTTAGACAAATGAAACACAGTTCCACTGACGAATATGATATGAGAAACATTCCCGGATAGCAATAAAATCAATAAACATTTTCAACAAAATGAAGCGAAAAGGAAATTCTTCAGAGGAAAATAAAACACTTACTCATTGCCTTTAATAGGTTCACCGATTAATTTTTTAGGCAAGTAATCGATTCCATAAAAGTTTAAACCCACTAAAATTTGTTTACGCAATTTTGCCTGGTTTAAAGAATTCTTTGGAACTAAACGATTAATGCATTCTTCTACCCAACTCAAAGGACTATTAGGCCCAGGTCTGTTATATGGTTTATAGAGAAAAGAAGAGCAATAATAATTACACAACCAAAATAGAGTCGTGTACACTATAGTTTAAAAATCATCATTAAACGTACGACCTACCAGCAAGAAGTGAAACAAAATCATTATGCACCTTATATATATAGCAACCAAGCGAAATGAATAGTCAGATGGTAACAACACATCGGTTAGTTTGATTAGACTAAAAAACAGTAATACTGTATTATAAGAACATTATATCAATGATTCATTTTATTGATTTCATTTGAAACTTCTGACTCGGATTACAGTGGATAGTGGAAAGTTATTCATTTTCCGAGTGTGTATTAACTCGAACTATGAGATTTTTGTATTTTTATAGAACAGCCTATTGATGACAAAATTTCAAAGGCTGAAAAGACATTACATTTGTAAAGAATTGATGGGAGATATAAGAATACACAAGTAGATGTTTACTTGAATAAGAAATAAATAAGGACATATGTAAGATGAAGGTTGCTCGGTACTGGATCAATTACTCACTTGGAAGGCCTATATACGTTTTGGAGGTTGAGTAACTCGGCATTAACCAATAGAAAACAGAACTACGCTTCAGATTACTGAAGCACGTGTTGATGAAGAACGATCGATGAATGATTAAAATGCTCGACTGTGAAGCACAAATTACAAGTAAAATTGACGGAATAAATTTACGAAGACAAGCATTCCTTCCGTGGGTCAATCTTAAAATTTCGCCTGATAAACTTAGAAGTATTTACATAATTCTTCGAAAATTTACATTCATTATCAGTTGAACGGTTACTAAACTAGGCCGTATTTATTCATATTTGAATTGTTAGAATCCATTCATGTGCAGAAGGAAAAAAGTTCAAGTTTCTTTTGTGGTGATATGGATTCTTTGTCATACATTTCATTGAAGCGACGTTCCATAAAAGCCATAGTAATTGTACAAAAGAGATGCTTTGAAAACATTTGTGATTAGAAATACCTTTAACTTTTTTATCTTTTTTCAGAATGTTAAACTTCATATGAAACGCACTAAGACTCATTTTCCAGCAAGAAAAAAACTTCAAACTCATGAATAATTAATTAGACTTCAGAAGATAAAAATATACGAAATTATTATTTAGATAAACTCACCTATGAGGTGAAGAATAGTCGTAGGTCATTAAGCTAAAATAGTCAACATAATCGGCCAATATTTTAAAATGTTCTTCTTTAAATCTTCCTTCTATGCCTCTAACAATTCCAGATTAATTAGGATAATGCATGCATTTACAAAATAAAAGATCTTACTCATAGTAAACAGGAGGTGGGATAACGAGCACAAAAAGCTTGCCGTCTGAATGCAAATTATCAGAAAGTCGTACTATAAAATCTATCAGTGATTGTAGTTCTACACCAGAGAACTGTGCCCATATTTCTATGACTGCACCATCAAAATTATATTTCTATGAAGGAAAAATTAGGAACAGAAGAAGATATATTCTTCAAAAACGATTCGTTTACAGGGTGAAAAGTCAAAAGGTTATTTGAAACTATCGCAAAATAGGAGTGAGGTGGATGATTAGAAATGATGGTGAATGGCTGCCATAAATTGACTACAAAATATGAACCATGAACTGGAAAGTGGGATCGTGGGTAACAGCTGGTGATGAATCCGGGGTAAGAAGTAAATAGTTACTCAGAGCTATCGTGCTTATAACAACTTTAAAAAACTGCTTTAAAACAAGAAATGAACACAAATTATCTCTCTAGCCTATTATCTATGATCTGTTTTATATCAATCTGAATTCTCTTAATATCGTAGTTAAATAGCAAAAAAACCGCCCCCAAACGCCCTGGTATGGCCGAGAGCGGGGTGGGTTCGCCCTTCCTTTCGAAATACTCTCACACGGCCGCGCGTATACAGCCTCTGCCAGGGAAGTCCTACTCATTGCCTTCTCGTGGCGAGGGTGTTGTTTACGAATGTCCGGCGCTTTAACCGGATTCCAAACCAATGGTGCACATGGGCACCAGTATCCTGCGGGAACAAATGGCGTATGAACCAATCTTCGGTCACCGGCTTCCATGGGACTGCATCTCCTTACGATGCTCCACTGCCTTGTGGGTTAGACCTTTAGGTCAAAGGCTCGGGGTGTGGCCCCCTAAGAGAACCACCTGCTTCGGTCTGGGCACCCGGGCAGTAACGCAGCCCACACGCAATTAATGAACTGAAATTGTGTGGCGCATATATGTTTGGCGCACTCCTGTACCAATATATATGTGTTCAAATAAAATAAAATAAAATAAGCAAAAAAAACCAGACTTTTTCAATTACAGCACAAAATTGCTTCAGGTGTTTATATTATTACCGACCAAACCATGTGAAAAACGTCTATCCTAGAGAGGTAAAAACTAGAATTGTTTTGCTCTTGGAAACCAGGCAATTATACGGCTGTGTTCCAAATTTTATGTCAATGGTGAAATTTAAAATTGCCAGGTCCAACTTTTGCATCACAATGAATATGAAACAACAAGCAAATCTAAGGCGCTGTAAAACTACGCTACTAATATGTTCGGTATTTGGAGAACCTATATTTAAGATTCCAGTGATCTCTTGTGAATGCATGGCAGTATTTAAGCATTAAACAGAAATTGGAAAAGTGGACAGCGTATCTACGACCTGACAAAAAATCAACCTGCTTCCGTAGAGTCCGTTTTAAGCGATAATTACTATTTGATTCGTTCAACGACAGTTTTAGTAAGCCTTCATCAACTTATTTGTACGATCGATTTTCCAAGGTCACAAGAGAGGCCAAGAAAAGCCTGTTATATTTCAATTACCCATTTACTGTAGTTTAGACGTATAATCCACTATTTATACGAATGTGACAGTTTGATTAAAAGCATATCTGAATCCTAATCTTTATCTATTCTCCCACAGGTTGCAAATACAGAAAAACAGTAACTTTAGTCATGTATTGACCAGCACTCATAAAATACAGATAGATTCTTCACACATTCCCCAGTGTACTTATGAATTTAATTAGATATTAAGAACACACGCTTTCCAAACGTAACTGGTGTTTCAGCTTCTGAATATTCCTAAATGAATTCAATAGCGATACAAAGAGAATTAAAATACACAGTTAGCGGGCCATTAGATTTCGGAGTCAAATTTGGGAGAAGAGTCTCTACAAACTGGTAAGCCCTAATTTGGACTTCACGCAACCTGGAGAACCACATCGACGAAGAACCTTACGAACCCTATAGATTCGGCCAACGAACTCAACAGAGCTGACTCAATCGACAAGAAACGCAGATGACAATTTGGTGAGCCAAAAGAAAAGAACGCGCATCATATTTTCAAAAGCAGTGCTAAACATTCTCAAGTCACACAGCAAATAACATCCTGTTGGGAATTACGTCATCCATAACACTTCATTCGAATTTTCGATAAACGCTATCATAAGATTTTCATTGTGGAATAATCGTACTATATTTTCTTACATAGATTCTAAATGCCAGTCGTTTTCGGTATCCATAAACTTATATTTTAATAGATCATTTATTACTTTAATTTCTTGCTCTCCTCTGTATCAGTTCACTAGATAATTCCGTGACCCTCTTACCTAAGTCTGCTTCTAAGGGTGCCTTTTCTGGCTCAACAGTAATCATTTTACGATCAGCTGGTGGTAAACTCATACTCATATGATTGTCACATACACAAACTAGACTGGCCTTAACGATGTATATAATAATAGAGGAAAATTTCCTATTTGTCATTACCACGCTGATCAAGCGAAAAATTAGCATTCGATGAAATGCATACAAATATTAGTGCAAGGAATGCTAACGGTATAACCACAGTGTGATGGAGAACAAATAATTAATAACATAACTGAAGTTGTCTCACAGAGGAGATAAATTACAAGAATAATCACAAAACGAAAGGATAAATAGACATTACTATTACTCATAGTGAGCTTCTGAATGTCCTACTACCTTTTACTTAATTGTAACTGTCAATAAAGAGCTAGCATTTGTTATAGTCATCAAACTCGGTCATATGCAGCACTCATTAATGATACACAAGGCGAATACTACATATCAATAGGTCATGGGATCATATGTTATCCAATGAAATATGAACGCCACCGAAGATTCCGTTCATTAACAATAACAAAGATTCTTCCACTATTATGAAAATAAAATAGTGCACACTACATTCTGACAACAGAACAAGTCAAGCACAGCTTCCAGAGGGAAAAAGGAACCAATCAATTATCAGCAAAAACTAACCTTTAAAATATTGATCACATTTCGAATACATTTATCTGTTTTAGGAACATCTTTTAAAGTTGCGGCATAATCTCGGTCTTCCCATGGACCGAAGGAAAATCGAGGTACTATCTTTACATCAGGATTCACAGTGCGAATTTCACTAAGCCATTCTGAGAAAATATAATAATCCAGAAAAGGTGTCAATCAAACCAGTGTTAATTTCAGGGATCCCAGTAACTGTATATGCCTTTTTTTCACCTTGGACTTCAAACCACACAGGAGCAATAAGGTTGAATTTAGCACCGAATATTTTTGCTACTTCGTATCCTAGTTTATTCCACTATATATCTGGTTTTTAACACAGAATAATGTCACTTACAGGCGTTACATATGCTAAAACAGTTGCGTTCAGATTCTTTTGGGAAGTGGTGTACTTATTATATGATGAATGTGATTTCAGAAACAAATCAATATCGATGCTTTCTGTAGGGACAGCATACGCCTGAGAGGTTTTAGTTAATGAATACATAAATACCATTTCGTCATATTCCTCTAAAGAAACTGAATATGTGACATGTAATAGTGTTATCAAAATCACTTTAACAATACATAATATAAATCCAAGTGAGGTATATGATTGTAACCTATTTCCCTGAAATGAAAAAAGGCAACAAAATGAAAAGATTCGAAAATGAACTGGCTATATAACTAGATACAAATACAGTTGTATTTGAAATCTATTGGGAAGTCAAGTAAAATCACTTCAGATTAGTGGATTAGGTAGTTTGGGTAAATTAATGATTTGGCATAAACATTATATTTACCTGTCACACACTACACAAGAAAAAGTGAATTGGAAGTATGGAAGAATGCTATCTTTAAAATGGGAAAATAAAGATGATTGCAGCCATACTAGCTTGTGATAAGAATTGAGAAATCACGAAAAACCTCTAGTTGGTAAAATAACCTAATTCTGATTTCGGATGTGATAGCTATAAAGGACAATCGATGGCAAGTAGACTGAGAAATTCACCCTCAATTTAATATAAGCGCTTACTGGAATTCTAACTAAACACAATCTTTGTGCTACTGGTCAGTCTATCTCACAAACTGTCCTTGGAATTTGTAAGCAACCTCAAGTCAAACATAGTCACCCCACTTAGACTGCTAGCACTGAGAATATACTAATACTGGAGGAAATTTAAACGAACCAGCAACGATCGATTTAATCATCCATGTTCTATCAATAAGCTTAAAACATCACAAGACTTAATCATATGGTTACTTTCACTTCAGTATCTATAGTTCAAGGAATATTGTGTAGCCAACATTCTGCGTCTATTTTCTATAGAGGTCGTCCTATGGATGAAGTCACTATTCGAGAGACAACAGAAAGCCGGCTACTTTCATTATACTTAGGACCTGTAGTTCTAAAATATCAATTATCTTTGAAACTTTATGAAAATTTTTATCGCCTATCGCTGTTAATTTACTTGTCTCACCTTAAGACACACACCGTGCTTCAGAAGTGTGGGTAGAAACTTGAATTCTTGATAGGATACGAAAAGTGCTAAGATCGAGAACATAGCCTACAATGCGAATAGCTTAAAGTCCATTATTGATGATCTCCAAAAAGAGCTTGAATTTGTTCTCTGAGTCGCCGCTAGTCAGTAACAACGTAGAACTTCTTACGTACGTACATCAGTTCGAGTTGCCACACCACATTGGCACAGAGATGCAGTGGTCGATTCAAATCCCGTAGTGCTAGATGTAGTAAAATTATAAGCTGTAATCATAAAAATTAGGGTTTGAAGATGTTATTCAAGGAGTATAATCCAGTGGAATAAGTTTGGAAAGAGAAAAAAGAAAGGGACATGAAGAATTCAGAAGATTAGAATTTGGGAGAACACAGAGTGGATGCACCTGCGCCATTGCAAACGATTTTGAGCCATGTCATTCAGGGTCTCTAACCATCGGTTGCTATCGTCTCGCGGATCCCAACCAGCTAGTCTATACCTACCAACATAGCTCAGTCCACTTGTCAGTGACTTCATATAATTGTGCCATGTTTAGGTCTGGCCTCCCCGAGCTTTCTTCCAACCTACTCCTATACCACTGAACATAGCACGTCGGGGCAGTCGGTCGTTGGGCATACGTAACACGTGTCCCAGCCATCTCAACTGATGAAGTTTCACTACGTCATCAATTGATTTTCCATCCTTATCTAGTACCCGTTTCCTAACAACTGCATTACTTACTCGATGGTCCCAGGTTATACGAGCAATATTTCGAAGACACCTATGATCAAATACTAGTAACCTACGAATATCCTCTACTCTTACCGGCCATGTTTCACTGCCATAAAGTAGGACAGAACGAAGTGCTGCTCAGTAAACCCGTTCTTTGGTTGATAGACGGATATCTCGCCTACGCCATAAATGACGCAAGTTGGTAAAACCTAGTCGAGCCTTCTGTATCCGTGCTGAGATTTCATCACACACCAGACCACAAAGGCTGATGCGACTTCCAAGATAAGTGAAGCGATCGACACACTCAACTACTTCACTCCCTATCACTAGTTCGGGTGTTAATGCAACCTAATCCTGAAACAACATTTTGTATTTCGAGGAAGAGAATTGCATGCCGAACATGCTTGCATTGTTGCTTAGAGTGGTCAGAAGACTCTGCATTTTGTGAGCGTCTTCGCCAAATAAATCTATGTCATCAGCATATTCTAAGTCAACAAGTGAACCTCCTGGTACAAGTTCAACCCCTGGAAATTTAGATGAGGAAAGTGTTATCTCTGAAAGCACGTCAACGACAAAGTTAAACAAGAATGGAGAGAGTGGACAGCCCTGACGAACACCACTCGAGGAAACCAAATCTGATGACAGTTCGCCATAAGCTCTCACTCGACCAGTTGTGTTCGAGTAGAGAGCCTTTATAAGGTTAATGTACTTCTTTGTTACTCCTTTCAATGAAAAACACTGCCATGGAACCTCACGATCAACAGAGTCAAATGCCGCTTCAAGGTCGAGAAATACTGCGATTGTGGGGCGTCTGAATGTGTGTCTGTGTTCTAGGACCTGACGTAGTGTGAATAAATGGTCTATACAACCACGTCCAGGTCGAAAACCGGCCTGGTTTTCTCTAATCTGCTCTTCACGAGCTTTGGTTAGGCGTCGAAGTATTAATGAAGCTAATATTTTAGACACTATATTAGTCAAACTGATTCCTCTGTGATTGTCACAAGAGGGCTTTTGTCCTTTCTTATAGACTGGCATAATCAGTGACTGAGACCAGTCACATGGGATTACGTCCAGTTCCCAAATTCTACCTAAGACCTCAGAAATCGCCGCTAAGGTCATATACGTGGAAAATTAGGACCTCAGTACATTGTAGACTTGCCGCAGCTTAATAAGCAGCACAGTGATCTGTCGAATAAGTCTACTTAGCCACGAAATACTACTTGATGTAACTGGGTCTTTTGTAAGTGATAGTTTCTCGAAGGAAGTCATCACATCCTAAAACTCGGTTTCCTACTGACAAAATTGGTAATATAATAATACCAATTATTTATTTATTTATTTGAACACATAGATATTAGTACAAGGAGGCACCAGATACATATGCACCACACAAAGCAAATGCGGTTTGTGTGAGGGCTGTGATACTGCCCGGGTGCCCAAACCGAAGCAGGTGTTTTTCTCAGGGGGACACACCTGGAACCCTCGACCTACGGGTCTGACCCACAAGACAGTGGAGCAACGTAAGGAGATACAGTCCCATGGTAGCCGGTCACCAATAACTGGTTCATAAGCCATTTGTTCCTTCAGGATCCTATGTACACCATTGGTTTGGAGTCAGGGTTTTCCAACCCCTTAGGTGAACCCTCTGTATCCACCAACCCGCCACGAGAAGGCAGTGAGTAGGACTTCCCTGGCAGGAGCTATATACGCGTGGCCATGTGAGAGCATTTCGAGAGGGAGAGCGGACTCTCCCCACTCTCGGTCGTACCAGGGCATTAAGGGGCAATAATACCAAACATAAAGCCTGGGTTTATAAGACAAATTAGTGGAGAATAAGTAGGTTTAGACATTACGCTAATCCTTCTGATTACTTTACCGAGGCGTTTCCTTTCAGCAGTGTCGGCGCCTTTAGATGTTCAGCAGTAAGCCACGAATTTGAGTAGATTTCTACGAGTTATACTTTGTAGGCGCATCTCAATCTCTACACGAAACTAAAATGTTATCATTTCACTCGTACGTACGTTTGCATTAAATTTAGTGATATTACGTCTCAAGAAGTGTACCAGTAGGAATAGTTCTAGATTAAACAGATTTACACAATGGCTGAACAATCGCGACAATTTCAGAGGGTGAGATTATTTTTCCATATAAATGTATAAATTTTGTCTTGGGACGGGTCTGCGTCAACACCTGAACTATTGGTTGGGACTGAAGAAGCTGAGTGCGTCAACCACACAATTTATTTTGGAGGTTTTATTAGGTTTGAAGGGTTGTCCGACGAAATCTCTGTATAGATTCAGAAATCCCGGTTGGTGTTAGCCAACTTGTGTCATTTATGGCATAGGCAAGATGTCCACCTGCTAACTAAAATGTGTGTATGCTGCAGAGCAGTCTAATCTGTTCTACTTTATGGCTGTGAAGCATAGTCTATAAAAGTAGGGGACACGCATAGGCTGAAGGTCAATGATCATAGGTGTCTTCGAAGTAATTTTCGTGTTTTTCGAAACGACCGAGTGAGCAACGCTAGGGTTAAGTATATGGTAATTCATAAATCGGTTGATGAGGTAGTGAATTTTCAATGACTAAGATGGATAGGATATATGTTACGCATGCCTAACCACAGCCTAGTGTAAAAACAGGTTAGAAGAAAGCTAAACAGACAAATCAAAAAGCGACATCAGTCTACGAAGTCATTGGCTGTTAGGTTGGGCCATGTCAGTTGATGCAAACTATCTGAGATCTGCGTGATAAGCGAGATTAGTGGTTATAGACCGAATGACGTGAATTAACACATACAGCAGGCTGTAAGCTGATTATGTCTGTCTAACATATCGGATAACACTTTTAGGTAATGGCAGCCTATTTCACAAGTTAGAGTTATCAACAATGTTTTCGAGTTTTCAAATGTAACTTTTAAATTTCAAAACACAATTAAATTTTCCTTTAGCATCAACTAAAATCTTGTCATTATCAACGTCATGGAGAAATGAGTGTTTGTAGGACCCAGCATCTGGCTGTTCAGCAAGCACTTACGTATACAAAGAGGGTGTGGTATCAAAAGAGATTATGGGTAAGATTAGTCTCGATGCTGATTGATCTTTGCGGATATACAGTTTATATTATTGTGACTAGTTGTGGAAACACAAAATATTTTTTCCAGGTGATTTCCAATTAATTATCGATTTCAAGATAACATTGACAGAAATCCTCACTTACTATACGATCAATACCACTGATGATGATACGTTACTATGTCAATCTAGAAAGTATCTGAGGTAGAATGGTTATATGCAATATAAAGTGGTTGTCAGACAAGTAAAAATCATGTTGACTATATGTACACATCAAATGAGTTGGAGGCTGAATACTTTTCGGTTGATTTTCATAGTGTTGATAACTTAACGGGTCAATTTTCACTAGTCCATAGACATAAACATAAACATACTTTGTGATACTTTGTATTTTCACTAGTCACAAAGTATTCATTTGGTGTATTCTTATAAATTAGTTCTTCCAAAACCGATATTTTGACATCACTGATAGGATGTACATCAGAGAACCTGGTCACCGAGTAAATTGTACTGAGGCCTATTTTTGTGCTTACAAGTGTCAGGGTTATCATACCACCACTGATATGATAATGTCAGTCATCAGTGATTTGTCAAATCAGATAAATAATTTGACCGCTTATATTAAGGCTCACTCATAGAAATTAAAAAAACACATCCAGCATGGATCACGTACTTTGGAAGTTCCACTTCAGACATCAGAAAAACTGCGTACGATAGAAACTGCATTAAAGGATCAAAACTCCCTGGTCAGTTTGTGAGTTGTAACTGTTACTTTTTTGCAAATAAGGTTACAAAATTGTCAGTGGTCACTGAAAATGATTTTTGTAAGTCAGCAAAACTAATTTTTGGTTACACAATGCTACTGGAACTTGCAACTATTCATGCTCTCTACGGGACAGACAACAAGTTGGGTATTAATAAGGACAGATTCTCCCATTAAGATTTACAGTAAGTTATAGACACAGCAAACACTACTGTCCAGGTGTCTTGTGTTCTAGGCTCAAAAGTTGTTCCTTATCTGAGACATCTGACAGGTCAAGTATTTCGATAGTTAAAGCTTAATGCACTATGTGAGAGATAAAATAAACGTGGGCTAGTATCGAAAGAAAATGTAAGTATAAATCAGCCAAGACTGTTTATTATATTTTTATATGCTTAATATTTTATGTTGATGTTTCTAGTTCGTAGGTTTATGTAAAATTTGTCAATTAATAAACACTTTCAACAGGCTTCTAAAGTACTAATTGAATTTACAGCAAGTCGCCTATTTTGCATAAAAATTTTCGTGCAAACTATCCTGGTAAACATTATTTTCTTAAGTCCACATGCACACTTGATACATGTATCGCGTCAACAAAGCCTGGGGATGAGGCTTCATGATATTTACTAATCTATGGAGTATTTTCCCTTTTCATTTATTCCTGTAACCGGTGTATTGTTTCAGATGCTCATGATCAAAGAGATATAAATATTGATAATTTCGTCATATCATTGACCAATATTTTATTTTTCAAGAGTGCTTTCAATCTAAGTTAGAAGCAATGCTAAAAATTATTTTTACTTTTCACAATGCAAGAGGAATTTACGTGAGATATTTTGCATGTGTTCGGTTCATTTAAATATATCGACATTTATGATAAGATACTTCTTGTTACAGCTTAATATAAATAAGATGTTAGGTACTTCTAGTGTTGACTGCAAGACTACTTTGATAACATAACTATTGTTTCTTGTAAGTAGATAATATGCCATCTGGTCAGGACCGCCTATTTTTTATATCAGGTACCAATGATGCGGTGTGATATAAGCAACAGCTAACTTTTTGAAGTTACTAGACGACCAGATTTATAAAGGCACAAATGAGGGGAAAAGATGTTATAACGATCTAGATTTCTGAACTTTAAGGAGAGACGTTTCCTTTTGAGAATCAGGAGATTCTTCCAACGTCACTGAATATATGGAAGAGTGATTATACGTTTACTGTGCCTTCCGAAATTATGAGCGAACTAATAGCACATTTTGGGAATCTTTATAAAAGCAATGGAAATTCTGAGTTTCTTTTTTTAAAAGTCCTGTTTTCGCCTGCAGGGACTTTTATAAAATGTGTGGATTCGAGGGATAAAATCCGCAGCATTACATATACAGGTTTTCGATAGTATTTTAAAAAAACCTCCAACAAGTTTTCAGTAAGATTTCTTCGAAATGATTATATTCTACCAGTTTATTCTGAAGAGTAATAGACCATGCTATGAGATTCAATAAATCGAAATTCATACTTGAACCACAACGACTTACCATGACAGTAATAAATACTGAGGACAGTTGCTAGAGTAAGTACACCAAACACACTACAGGTCTAGAGATTCGCCCTTGAGTTCAGACAATCGACAAGGTTGATAGCGTAATAAAACACTTTCACATAACAGTTATTCTTTGTATTTTTTTAGAAAGGGAAATATACGCATATACGAGCACACAAGAAAAAGGCATGTTTGTTTTTCTTGACACATTAATACGAATGAACGAGATTTAAGAAAATGGTATGCAGCTTCCTATGCTCAGCAGTCGTTCAAGTGTTCTGGAAACCTGACCTTACAAAATGTAGTCTAGTTGTAGAGACTGTCGAGGGGAGGACTTGTCGAATGACGGGCTCGGAGAGACTTTGAGAGGTTTATGGTTAGTGAACAGCGTGAACTTTCGTCCTTCCACATAGTGTTGAATGTGCCGTACAGCATAACGAACGACCATGAGTTCCTTATCAAATGTGCCATACCCCGAATCGGTGACTTGCAACCGTCTTCAGAGGGATGCTAAAAAATTTCCGGTTTTCACTTATCGATCGTCGTAAGTCTCCTCCAATTCCCGAGTCGGATGAGTCTACTGCTATACCAATGGGTACTTTGATGTCCTGGTGTGCGAGCACAGTTGCTTTTGCAACAGTTTCCTTAACTGTGTGGAGTGCTTTATTGAATTGATAAATTTCACGTTTCCACGATGTTGGTGTGTTAAGGATCCCATAGGAGATGTGCAGTTCAGTACGAACCATCAATAAAACCTTACCAGATCGCTGGACGCACGTAACTGCTTAACTGCGGTCAGTTCTGGATAATGCAAAACAGCCGCCATGACTTTTCACAGGGTGGATGATCTGAGCATCAATAGAGTGTTCGACAAAATTCAGGTAGTCGGTTCCAATCTGACATTTCTGAATGTTTCAGTAATGCCGTGTCACTGCAGCCGTTCGAAAACACGGTCAAGATGCTGGAGATGAGATTCTCCGTCCTTACCTACTCTCAATCAGTCATCCACAAATTTGTGTACGAAGTTGGGATCACTAAAGACATCATCGATGAATCTCTGGAAAGCTTGTGCTGCACTCCCTAAACCGAGAGGTATGAACAAAATTTTATAGTTTGAAGGTGGTGATGGTGGTTTTGGAAATGTCGTCGGCAGCCATATGAATTTGGTTGTATGTTCTAACCAAGTCGATTTTCGGAAAGACAGTTGTACCTTTTGAGGTAGCTATCAGGTCGTGAACGTGTGGCAAGTGGTAACAATCGACAATGGTTATCGTATTCTGTCGTTGATGATTACTAGTTGAACGTCAATCAATAATGTTCCTTTTAGGAATCGTGTGCGAGAGAGATGCTCATGAGCTGTTCAACGACCGAATAATTACAATGCGCTTGGATTCATTTCTAGCCAACCTTAGGTGTTCTGGAGCTAGTCAGTTCGCTTTCGAATTTACAGGTGTTCCCGTAGTTCTGAGGCGGTATGTAACTTTTCTGGTTACGCACGGTTTTTTTTATCTCGTTTGTTACAGTCTGGGGTATTTTCGAGTATCCGCTGGTCGAAGGGGTCGATTATCTGCCTAACAGTTACTGGGAATAATTTACAACTAGTAAATGAAATTCCACAAACAGATAATTTAGTGTCACCGTCTACTGACCTCCGTTTGCTCGAGTCGATGAGTACACTATGGTAGTGTGGCAGGTTTGCGTCCAGATATATCCAGTGGCAACTGGATATAATGTTTGTCTTCACTGTTGTCGAAATAGTGGTTCTTACCTTGTTACTGCGATAATTAACGTTTCTGATTCTATTATATGAATTCAGTTCATATGCAAATTTCTTCATTGCATGATATGTGTAATCTCATTTTTGTTTTACACTTATATTTCCACTCTGTTTTTAAATTTTTGCTTAAATAAGTTTTCACAGTTACATAAAATGTCATTTTGGAAGCATGTTTGTTCATTGAGTATGTACGTCCATTAGAACTGATGAAGTCGGCATCATACGTCGAAGACTTACAGATCTATTTATTTTGGGGATTTATTTACCTCTATAAATGTTAACGGTTCAAGAATCAGCAGTGGAATTCAGGGTCATAATATGCGGACTCAGATTTATGTATTGAGGACAGGTGAACCACGACCTGTGTTAGTCATTTTCTATTAAGCTTCTGAGCTTGTTCAGCTTACTCTTGAATGAGTCAATTGAATGGGCGGGTAACAAACCCAAATAATTGGTGACTCAGTGTGAAAACCTGTATGACACGAATATTTTGTTCAGTCTTGGCCTTTGTACTCGTCTGTACTATACTCTGAATTGTCCTGATCTGATATGAAGAAAAAGAGAGGATGTAATGGATCCAGAACAACTTCTTATTATCCCATAGAGTAAAATCAGCTCACTTCCTAGTCCGTGGTATGACCGAGTAAAAGGGTCTTGGCTCCCAAACTGCAGACGTAAATGCGAGGATTGGCAAAGCAGAGACCTCATTCCTACAGTTTTAGAACATACGGAACTCAGAACAACTGCCAACCTATATCAAAGTCACAATCTTCAATTCGAACGTCAAGGCAGTTCTACTGTGTAGAGCCAAAACTTGCAGAATTATCACAGCCATCATCAAAAGGGCACAATATTTATCAACAGTTGTTTACGCAAGGTGCTCAGTATCCGTTGGTCTGATACCATGAACAACAGCCTACAGTGGGGGAGAACAAACCAGCTACCAGCTAAAGAGGAGATTAGATGATCGGTGTGCATCATGAGGCGATCGCTTACTTGAAACCCTGAAGAAAAATGGGAAAGAGGAAGACCATAGAACATAATAAGCCGGACATTGGAAGCAAACACAATTAGGTTGAAAAGCGGCCAGAAACAACTGGGAACGTTTGTAGAATTATGGTCTACTATGATATTAGTACTGCTCTAATAATAGACCTAATCCTAAAATTGTAGATTTGTCATGATATAACTGCCTAATCTATAAGATCTTACGTGTAAGTCACATCATCGTCTACACCAACTCACTGTATCGTAACAACTACCAATACATGATGAAGAACAAGATTAGGCTAGAGAAAGAACAATATATTTAATATGAATAAAAGATATAAGGTAATATTCAGAGGGACTACGCATACATGGCTGAGCCATGCCATCCGATCAACATCAATTCACTCAATTCCTTGTTCGCGCCTTCCTCATCGTTAGGTATTTCTCCGCGTTAAATATTGAATATCTATTTTCCGAGTAGTCTCGTGTTCAGCTTTGAGGACTGTGTGATTATAGTCTAATGCCACTACACTACTCTCCCACCAGAATCAACGTGATGTTAGTTCGATACCGAATTGGATGGGATAGTCGTGCGCTGAAGGTTACCAAGACTAGTAAGAATCCTCCGGGTTATAATAAGCTGAAAGATAAATAAAAAAAGGCGGCAGCATCTGGTCGTGAAATATTTGTGATAATTTTAAAATACCTGCCTTCATGCTTAGCACGCTTAAAATGAAAATTTGGGTGAAGATTATTTGAGCTATAGAAAACGGGATTACAATAGTAATAATAAAACGATGCCTGTTAATAGCCGTTGGTTAATAACTTAACTCACACGTGGTATGTATTTTGTGTTTAGAAATATTAAAAGTAATCAATATTGTAGAAATGTTAATATTAGTATTAGTTTTGGTTTAAATTATAGAATCAAATAACGTTCATGCTAGTAAGTTGTCCATGAGTTGATTTTCAATTGCATTTGTATTAGAAGGCTAACTGAAGGAACAAAAGTATTACCATGGAAAAGAATTCCAACTAGTGTTCCAGTTAGTTTGATACGGTTTATTTAGTCACGGGGGGATTTTCTCGACCTCACTTTTACTAGGATTTAGTAATACTACTAATACACATGAATGGTGATCAAAACAAAATTTAAATACGTGAGTGATAATTATATGGATTTTGGACAGATAGCTAGGAACAAATCGTTAAACATGAGTGTATTCGTAAGAGACATGCTCTAGACTCAATGTTCTGAGTTGCCATAGACTATTTATACATATTTATACCTGACGGCTGATGATGCATACAAGTTAGTTGCAAGTATGCAGTTTATCATAAGGCGGAATACGATTCAATTGAGACATAGTGATCATAAGTTACTGAAATCAGTTAAGTCTATATGCTACATTACTAGGTGATGTGCTGTAAGGTGTATTCAGCTAAATAAGTTTTTTCAAGATAATTAACAGTGAGTGAAGCTCATGTGATTATCAGGGAGGAAACAAGTTGTAACCAAGGGGAGTACACTCCCAACTCATGTCTATGATAATGGCTTGAACCTTAGTCAGTGTTGGGGTAAATTCGACATTGATGTTTTCAGTTTGCAGGAGATTTGCTCGACTGGCTATACTGATTATTTGCATGCATGATTGTGTCACCAAACCATCAATTAGACTGACAAGGTTTTGAGATATTTACTGAATGAAGAACTTATAGAGAAACATACTATAATCATCTGTAGTGAATGAAGATAAAAGAAAAACAACACTAGTGATAATTATAGGTCAATTTGCTGATCGATTTTGTTAATATTTTCATCAATTTCACCAAACATATTACGTGATTGTCAAGTTATGACAATGCCTAATGACGAAATCCTGAAACCATTATGTTTGACTAGTTATAGTGTTGATTGAGGATTAGCCAGTTGAAATATAGGTATTGTTGCTTTAGGTGATTCGAAACTATCAGAAATTTGTAGCGTTAAAGAATCAGAGCTGCCTTACTATATTATAAATTTTAATTCGAAAGTATTCGTCAAGCGTTAATTTTAGTAGGCTCCAGAGTTTTGATGTTAAACATCTATTTAGCCAAAAACTACCTGAGAATTTAGTTATTTGACTAGTGTAGTTGATAGTCTCTAAGTTTCTAATCTTATTATCTAAACTATGTTCGCATTTTAGGCTGCTAATATGATAAATAAATCCATAAACCCGAATACGATTAGC